GTACATTGGCCAAACCGGACAGTCTCTACGCAAAAGAATTAATGGACACAAATCTGACATCAGGAATCATAATACTCAAAAACCAGTGGGAGAACACTTTAACCTGTCTGGTCATTCAATGACAGACCTGCGGGTGTCTATTTTACAACAGAAAAACTTCAAAAACAGACTCCAATGAGAGACTGCTGAGCTGGAATTGATATGCAAACTAGATACAATCCATTTAGGATTGAATAAGGACTAGGAATGGCTGAGCCATTACAAACATTGAATCTATCGCCCCTTGTAAGTATTCTCACATTTCCTATCAAACTGTCTGTACTGGGCTATCTTGATTATCACGTCAAAAAAAATTTTTCTTTTACTTAATTGGCCTCTCAGAGTTGCTACGACAACTCCCACCTGTTCATGCTCTCTGTATGTGTGTACATATATCTCCTCAATATATGTTCCATTCTATATGCATCCGAAGAAGTGGCTGTAGCCCACAAAAGCTTATGCTCTAATAAATTTGTTAGTCTCTAAGGTGCCACAAGTACTCCTGTTCTTTTTGCGGATACAGACTAACACGGCTGCTACTCTGAAACCCATAATTTTTACTGTCTAGCAAAGTTATTAATTTAAGCTCCCAGGCTCATCTTTTGAAGGTGTTGTGCACATTTCCTTTGAGGATGAGGACTGATAGGTCACATATAGAGTGATCATTTTGTGAAAAGTGTTCATCCACAGGTGACAGGGTATTTTTGTCTTATACCATTTTCCTGTGCGAATTCAGTGTCTGCTTTCAGCCACATAGTTATTGGGTCATTTACTGCACTGGATGAGATATATCACATGTTGTGATAGGCATGTGTAGGACCCATGGATCTTGAAAGGTCTATGTGGAGGGTGTTGATCAGTGTAGAAGCAGAGATGTCGGCAAGTTTTGCATCTGTTGTTCTGGCAGGGTCTGGTGCCACTTTGAGGTGGTGTCCCAATCGGTGGGGAGTTCGCTTCTGATGATGAGCATGGAGAGGTTGGGGGAGTTGTTTGAAGACTACAAGAGGGGATTCAGGAAATATTTCTTTCAGGAGGGGGTCCCCATTGAGTATGGGTTGTAGTTGTTCGATACCTCATAGGGGTTCCAGTGTGAGGTGGTAGGTGCAACTAGGGGTGTGCAGTTAGAGGGGGTTTTATTTCTGTATTGAAGCAGGTTTTTTCAGGGTATTTGCATCATGGAACAGGCCACTCAATCTACTTCTCTGGTGTAGTGTCCTTGTTTGGTCGAGGCAGTTTTTAAGTATGTGAAAGTGCATATCATGGATTTTCTCCTTGGAGCATATTCTGTGCTATCTGAGTGCCTGGCTGTAGATAACAGATTCCTTCATAGATCCAGTAACCACATAAAATAAATAAATTATATGTAAAAAAAAATTAATGGAGATATCCCATCTCCTAGAACTGGAAGGGACCTTGAAAGGTCATCGAGTCCAGCCCCCTGCCTTCACTAGCAGGACCAAGTACTGATTTTGCCCCAGATCCCCAAGTGGCCCCCTCAAGGATTGAACTCACAACCCTAGGTTTAGCAGGCCAATGCTCAAACCACTGAGCTATCCCTCCCATAAGCACTGATGCCAAGGTTGCTCTGGGGCTGGAGCACCCATGGGTGAAAAATGGTAGGTGCTAAGCACCAACCGGCAGTCCCCCATCAGTCCTTCCTCCCCCAGTGCCTCCCGCCTGCTGGTGGGCCCTGCCGATCAGCTGTTTTGAGGCATGCAGGAGGATCTGGGGGGGAGGGGGAAGAGAAAGGACTCAATGCACTTGGGGGAGGGGGCAGAATGCAGTGAGGGTGGAAAGAGGCGGGGTGGGGACTTGGAGGAAAGGGTGGAGTGGAGGCGGGCTTGGGGTCGAGCACCCCCCAGCACATTGGAAAGTCAGCGCCTGTGACCCCAAACACACCAAGAAATCTGTTATCTACAGGCAGGCGCTTAAATAAGATGAACAGCTCTGTGGGGCTTGAAAACTTGTCTCTCTCACCAACAGAAATTGGTCCAATAAAAGATATTACCTCACCCACCTTGTGTCTCTAATATACTGGGACTGACATGGCTGCAACTACACTGCATACTGTAACCTTAGTCTGTGATATTCAAGCCAAGTTTCCTTACCTCATTCTACAAGGCAAACAACTTCATGTCAATTTTAGCAACAAGTAAATATATCTTTAAAAAGGCCCATGCCCATTTATATCCTAAATGCAAATGTCTGCAACACTTGGGACATAATGTCATCCATAGCAGAGCAGCAGTTAAGAAGCAACATCATTATAGTGGAGACCTCATGTGACTCACTGGGGTTGCCAACAGTGCTGGAGTATAAGGGACGTCTCTTATTTAAATACAAAATTTTATCCCATATATCAGGCTGTAGTGCTGCTAAAATGAAGACTGGATGAAAGGCTTTCCATACTGATTTAGAATGCTGACAGAGGGGTGGCAGGGCCAAATTTGAGTGGTGTTGCTACCTGGTGCACGGGATCACAACGCCATTCAGATTTGGCCTGGCCAGCTCCTCTGTCATGTAGGTATTTTTGAAAGTCAGTGTTGGCAACCCTATGTGATTAGTCTCTGCAGCCTATAAAGGTGGGAACAGCTTTGGTGCATGGAAGCAGCTAGTCCGTTCTTTGGGTACCCCTGTTCCATGAGACTGATTTGTGGCTTCTATGCCTGGCTGACTGACTATTTGACCCTGATTTACATTTGTTAACAAGGGAACAACAATGAGGGAGCCTTATTTTCACTGGTGACCACTGCTTAATTAGTGCCAGGGCAGCCCTGGCACCTCTAGGCTTGGCAGTTCATAGCCCTGGCATGTCTGGGCTTGCTGTGTCAGTTATGAAAGTAAAAAAATTGCTTGAGCCCTGGCACCTCTTTTGTTACAAATTAAGCACTTCTGGTGATCCTACTGGATCCCAGCTGAGTCTGGTCACACAGGACAATGGAGTTAATCCTGTTCTAATTATTCCAATGCCTACCTGGTTTTTGTAGCTCTCTCTCCCCAGTGAGTGATGCCATACAGCTGTGTGTTCCTGCCTCGCTGACAGAGAAAATTGCTCCCCAAATGACAAAATAAATAATAAAAAAGGGAAAAGAGTTTGCAGAAACAATCCATAAATGTACTACAAAGCGAGACTTGCCTGGCTGCTGTGGGACAGACCCAGGCTCCAGCTAAGGCTCGCAGGGAGTTTGTTCATTTAATCACTATGGTTATACAATGCACCTGTCTAGAGCTCCCTAGGCTTAGCTATAATTCAAATGACACCACTGCATGTCTAAGGAGGGGTGTGAGTCACCTGGCTGTCTCAGGGATGGAAGTCACAGGATCTGGAAGGATTAACAAAAAAAACCCAACCACACTATGGTTAGGTGATAATGAGCTGAATAGGTTCGGTCTGCAGGATTAGATGATTTGGTGCCTGGTACATCTCAAGTTTGAGGGAAATAAAGGTGGTTGTAACTCCCCTCCCTCCCCCCAGCTTTGTGTTTCTAAAACAAAGTGCACGCACACATGACCCTCTGGCAGTCAGTCAGAACATGATGTGCAATTAAGAGCAGCCTCCAGGTGTCTCTAAACTGTGCTGACTAGTAATGGCTTCTAATGGGACATTCCAGTAGCTGGGGATCTGTACCAGCTGCATCCCCTTCTCATCAGGCTCATCCTCTTCACCAAAGCACCAGGAGTGGGTACCATAGGAGCATCTGTAAGGGCCCTATACCTGGAGGTAGGTAACTCATGTAGGGGAATCCTGAGGTAGCTGGTTAAGCAAGCTTTGCAGGAAAGGGGACAAAGTGGCCCCAGTGGCTTTATCTCAGGGTATATCTACACTACCCACGTTACAGCACAGCTGCAGCAGAACTGCCAGGGCAGTGCTGTGACGTGGGCAGTGTAGACATGCTTTATCGTCGGGGGAGAGCTCTCCCAGCAATAAAAAAAAACCCACCCCTAATGAGTGGTGGTAGCTTTATAAAGTGCTGTCTATACTAGCGCTTTTCAGTGCTAAAACTTTTGTCGCTCAGGGGGGTGTTTTTTCACACCCCTGAATGATTAAAGTTTTAGAGCTGAAAGTGGCAGTGTAAACACAGCCTCTGGCCGTGTCTACACTGCCACTTTACAGTGCTGATACTTTCTTGCTCAGGGATGTGAAGAAGCACCCCCCCCGAGCGATGCAAGTTTCAGTGCTGTAAAGGAGCAGTGTAGACAGTGCACCAGCGCTGGGAGCCACACTCCCCTTGTGGGGGTGTTTTTTTTTTTAAACAGCGTTTTAACGTTGGTACTGAAGACATATCCTCAAACTGACTAGTGGAGGCCTTCAGGTAACATCACTAGAGCTTGATTTGGGATCTTAGAGAATACTTCAGCCCATTGCTGGGAAAATCTGCCCCTTATTTCTCACAACAATCTGCTTTGCCCACTAGAAAGGGCCTGTAGGTCAGAAAGCATGAGGTTTGCATTTCCTGGGGGCTCTGGAAGATCAGCTTTCCCACATGGCTTTTTCTCCTCGAAAATGCTGACTACCCTCAGTGAAGGCAGATTGCCATAGTCGAAGACAGGGTGTTTCACTAGCAGCAAATTTCAAGTCATTCCTCGTATGGATAAAGTAAAATATCTATTTGTCCAGTAGGGAAGGAGGCCTAACAGATCAACTTTTACAAGGGGCTATTTTAAACCATGATGCTATAATAGGGACATTATTGAGTGGATGAAGTGTATGGCACATACTGCAGCTTGGAGCAGTTCACATTCCTCTGGTGCTAGTATTCAAAATGCTTCCTTTGAGCATGAAATAGATCTGCCTCCTAAGAGACCAACATTTCCCACAAGGCCCATTCTGCAGACTCCTAACAAGAAGAATCCCAACAATTATATTGGTCCATTACTAAAGGGAAATGGTAGAATTATGATGTAGAGGTGTTAAATAAATATTTCTGTTCTGTATTTGGAGAAAAACAGATGATGTAGTTATGTCATTGTGACAGAGTGGGGAGTATTGACCCGGTAATGCTGCATGGGAGTTTTACTGGTTTACTGTTTGCATTGGTGCTGGATGGTGGTGAGATATCAGGGAGTGACTTCACTTGAGGGATGATACTTGAGCACGTAACCTGAACCCAGGAGGGGGTTGGGGTCAGGTAATACCTTCTGCCAGGGAAACTGGACAAAGGCTGGAGGAGGAGCCGGGGTGTATGGCTGGTGAGAGACTGCTGGAGGGGGGTTCAGTTTGGAGCTGGCTGGGGAAACTGTGTTGCGGTCGTCTAATAAACCTTCTGTTTTACTGGCTGGCTGAGAGTCACGGTGAATCGCAGGAAGTGGGGGGGGGGGTGCAGGGCCCTGACTCCCCCACACTCTGTGACAGTCATATGACAACACTCCTTCCATTCCACTAATATCTCAGGAGGATATTAAACACCAGCTACTAAAATCAAACAGGTCTGGATAACTTGCATCAAAGAATTTTAAGAGAGCTGGATGAGGAGCTCACTGGACAGTTGAGGCAGATTTTCAATAAGTCTTGGAACACTGGGGGAATTCCAGAAGACTGGGAAAAAGCAAATATTGTGCCAATATTTTAAAAAAGCTAAACTTGATAATTATAGGCCAGTGAGTCTGACATTGATTCAGAGCGAGATAAGGGAATGGTTGAGGCAGGATTAGATTAATAAAGAATTAAAGGAGGGTAATATAATTAATGCCAATCAACATGGGTTTATGGGAAATAGATTTTCTCAGACTAACTTGACTTCTTTTTTGAAGGAGAAGTTTGGCTGATAAAGGTAGTAGTGTTGACATAGTATACTTAGACTTCTGTGAAGTATTTGACTTGGTACCACAGACATTTTGATTAAAAAACTAGAAAGACATAAAATTAACATGGCAGCTATGGATTAAAACTGGCTAAAAGATAGGTCTCAGAATGTAACTGGGGAATTAAAATCAAACAGGTGTGTTTCTATTGGGGTCCTTTACTCTATTTAGCATTTTTATTAATGACCTTGAAGAAAACAAAATCATCACTGATCAAGTTTGCAGATAACCCCATAATCTCTTCATTATTTACCACTTCCTAGGACAGGTCACTGATACAGAGTGATCTTGATTGCTTGGTAAACTGGGCACTAGCAAATAAGGTGTCTTTTAATATGGCTAAATGTGAATGTTTACATCTAGGAACAAAGAATGTAGGCCACACTTACAGGCTGGGGGCTGTATCCTGGGAAGCAGTGACTGTGGAAAAGATTTTGGGGCCGTGGTGGATAATCAGCTAAACATGAGCTCCTCCTCCTCCTCCTCCTGTGATGCTGTGGCCAGAAGGACTAACACAATCCTTGGATCAATAAACAAGGGGATCTGGGGTAAGAGAAGAGGTTTTTACCTCTATATTTGGCACTCATGTGACTGCTCCTTGGAATATTGTGTCCAGGTCCGGTGTCCACAATTCAAGAAGCATGTTGGTAAAGTGCAGAGGATCCAGAGAAGAGATACAAGAACGATTAAAGAAAGGATTCGAAAACATTCTTTTCAGTTATGAATTCAGGGGTTGAGGTGACTTGATCATAGTCTGTAAGTATCTACAATGGAGAACAAATATTTGATAATGGCCTGGGCTCTTCAGTCTATCAGAAAAAGGCTGCATGAGCCCACCCCTGCCAGAGGCAGTGGCCCAGGGGCTCCACAAGATCCAGCTCACAGCTTCCATGCAGTGTAAGGAAGAAATGCAAAATAGGGGTACATACCTCTGTGGGGCCAAGTCAGATCAGTAGAAGCTTTCTGAGCTGGTACAGAGGGAAGGGTTTCAGGAGGAAGAGTTCTGAGACTGAGTTGTGGGCGGGTGGGGGGCAGGCTGTGTTTGCATGGTGAGAGAAATTCCAGAGCTGTGGTGAGGCTAGATGAAAAGAGGGGGGGTCTCAGTCTGGGGGGGACAGGTGGGAGGGGGATTCTTAGCCAGAGTAGGCCTGGAGGGTTAGGGTGAGAAGATGTTTCTTAGCAGGCTGAGGATGGGGAATGCTGAGGGGATGTGGGGTGGACACGAGTAAGGGGAAGTGGAGCCAGTTGCACAAAGGGAACAAATTAAAGTTGAACAGGCCATCTTATATTTTGCATTTTCTAACTTCTGAGTTTTTAACTGTGCAACTTTAACATACTTTTAATGGAATTTATTTTGCATGTAACTTCCCAAACTTTTAAAAATTGAAGCTGAAAAAATAGAAATTCCATCATGAGGAAGGATTTTGAACACCCTCCCCCCAGTGGATTATATCACAGCACAGAAGATTCACAGCACAGAACCTGGCCACTTGAACTAATGGATTAACTGATAGCAGGAGGAGGTTCTAGCCTCTGTGTGTTCCACTCCCTTCTATTGGCTGGTCCACTTTGCCAATAGGTTTTATAGCTAGACAGCAGAGGAATGCCGAGGCTCGCAAATTGGGGTTCAATTCCAGGTTCTGCAGCAGTGTTCCAACCATAGTAGCTAGGGATTCTTCTACCCATCTATGCCCCCTCTGCTCCTGTTCCCTAGCTTGTGCCCCCATCAGCCTGTCCCCATTTCCCTTCCATCTCTACTTCTGCTCCCCCTAGCCTATCCCTGTACCTCCAGCTCCTCAGCTGCCTGCACTGCAGTCAGGTTGCTTCTTCCTTCTCCTCCCTTGAGAGCAGAGGACAGAGTCTCCCTGCTTTCAGTTCCAGTAGCCAGTGTGGCAGAGTAGCCTCTACTTCAACAAACAGGAGCAATTGCAGGGAAAAACTGGGCTTGAGCATGCTCAGTGCAGACAGAATCTTCAGAGAATTTAGCTGCCAGACTTTTAGCAAACCTCCACTGAACATCTGCAAACAGCAATTTCAGAGGCTTACAACTGAACCATGGGAGGGGAGGGGAGGAGGAGATTTTTAATGGGGACAGCAAAAAGCCCCTTTTGACCAGAGGGCAAGTTTAGAGTCCCAGCTCCACAGCATATTTGCATTAAAGCTTCTCAAGAATTGTACAAATTTCATATTAGCAAAACATTTCCCCCCCCCTCAGTTCATTCTTGGAAATAAGCAAAAAAAAAAACCACCTAAATTTTTAAAATATAATTCAGCCTGAGACAGGCACCCAGCATGGAAAGTTTTAGCCCCCACAGTTAGTTTGGCAGTTATAAACAACTAAAAATAGGGTTTTATAATGGAAAGTGTTAGGCAATCTTAACTGTAGGTGTTGCTGCCAGCTTCACCTATGCTAATAACAGCAATACCAAGATTAAGGAAAATTCTTTTAGAAGGGCCAACAGAAACCAAAAGAGGAAAGTGAGTGAAGCAAGGCTGGCCATCAGGAATGGCTTTCTACCTATTAGGTCAATTAAACTAAGGAGGAAACTTTGCAGGCCTCACGCACAAGGAATTATCCAAACAGAGAGGAAGTTCTCTAAGGGGGGGAAATCTATTAAAAAAAATTTACTCCATAATAACATGACCAAGCTAAGTAAAAACTAAAAACTAAACCAAGAATCTCTTCCATACTGGCCAGAAGTAAACTTACTCACAGAATGAAGGGACTATTTAATTCAGCACTCTCTATATTAAAAAACTAAAAAAATAACTAAAAAAAAAGTCACTATTTGGGATCAGATCTACTCATAGGAAATTAAATACATTTATCTCCATATTTTGTGTTTGTGTCATGCTGTTGATACAAAAACAGCAGAATGCTTCACGGGCGATGTTGAAAATTGAAGAGGCTTCAGAAAAGAGCTACAGGAATAATTTGTGGTTTGGAAAACAATGATTACAATCTTTTTAAATTTATTGAAGAGAAGGTTAAGAGTCAACTTAATCATGGACCATAATTATCTACTGAGGGAGAAGATATAGACTAAAGAGCCTCTTGTATTGGATAAGACAAAAAGGTATAACAAGATCCAATTGGTGGACATTGAGATCAGCAGTGTTCAAACCAGCAATGTCACATTTTCAACAGTGAGGGTAATTAATGATTGGAACAGGTTGCCAAGGGATGTAGTAAGTTCTCTATCATTCATTTCACATCTTTACATCAAGACCTACAGCAAGGGAAGTGGGTTACTAGAAGACACCTATTCAAAAGGTGCTTGGTTTAATCAGGTTCTCCATTTCTTCATGTCACTAGATGGACTCACCTCTTCATTCCACATAGCATTTAAATGCTTATGGTGAAATCCTTATTCCATTGATGTTAACATATTTCCTTAGGTTCTTATACAGCTTCCATTACTGTAGTGTCTGAGCACCCTTTGGAGTTTTGCCATTGACTTTAAAGATTATGGGATTTGGTCCAGTGTAAGAATTAGAGTCCATCTGTGAACTATTACATACAGATTCAGAAAGTGGCTGCATGAATCTGTGTGGTTAGAAGATGCCATTGAATTATCTGTATTTGGAAACTCAACTTACAACATTCACTGCTCTGGCACATAATAGTGCCTTTCATGAATACACTGTACAAGAAGAAATCTTTGATTCCTGACCACGTAACTATTTCCCAGAGAGATTCCGGTGTCCAAGCTAGCCAGCCCTTTGACATCTTGGCTTCCAACCAGCTCCATCACAAGATGGGCCTCATCTTTAAGGCTAGTCAAGAATCCCAATCAACTCAGAAAGATGGAAGGTCATAAGCAAAAGCTGACCAACTAGCAGTAGGTTTTTGCAGAAGACGACCCTGGCTCAGATCAATTGAAAAGCCTATAACAGGCTGTCTAGAAAATAAGGTAGTGGTTAGCCACTAAACAGACATTTTCTTTACAGATGCTAGGCTGGAGAAATATAGCTACCAGAAGTCCTACCATGCAAGCTTCCTCACAACATCCCTGTTGGAGAGTTTACTATTCACTGCTATGGAATCTCCTTGTGGCCGACTAGTTTTCAACCAGTTCAATGCACCTTCCTTGGTTTCTCACCCCATCTCTTTCACTGGATTCAGGTACTCCCTCTTCATGGCTTGGCCCTCTAGCCAGGCTACTATAGTTTTCCCCTTCTGGGGTCTCAAAGTCCCATGGTCTCAGGCAGTCTTTTGTTACTCTACCTAGAGATGGCGTCACTTTTTTAGTAGCTGGTAGGGGAACCTAGGCCTACCCTCTCCTGTAGGTTCCAGCCCCCAAAACCACACAGTATCCAATCTCAGACCCTGTTACTGTTTCCCACCTACCTACCTGTCTCTCTCTGCTAGCCCACCCTTAGTTACCAAGAGAACATCCTCTGTTCTATGTGACTACTTCACTCTCTCAAGTTCTTGCCAGTATTTCTATTCCCAGGTAGGATCCCAAGACTTATTTATTTTTGTATTTTATCAACACCCCTCCTTCCGGGGGGGCAACTATCACATTCCTTCCTGTCACCCCCCATCTTGCTGCCCCACTTCCTGGTTTTATATGAACACAGCATGGCCCTGCCCAGCTGTGCTTCATCATCAGTTAGAGCTTGGCAGCCCTGACTCTTCTCCAGGTACAGTCTGTCAAAGGGTTAATAGGCCCTTTCTACCTATTCAGGCCAGTTGTGAGGTAGACACCCCATCACAGTCCCCTCCTGCAGATTAGAAACATGGGCAGAAAATAGCAATGAGATTCAGCTGGGAAAACTGCAGCTAATACATCTGGTAGAAAATGATCTGTGGCAGGGGTGGCCAGCCTGAGAAGGAGCTAGAATTTACCAATGTACATTGCTAAAGAGCCACAGTAATACATCAGCAGCCCCCATCAGCTCCCGCCCCCCAGCACCTCCTGCCTGCTGGCAGCCCTGCTGATCAGCACCTGTCCCTCCCCCACATCTCCTGCCCACCGTGATCAGCTGTTTTGCAGTGTACAGGAGACTCTGGGATGGAGGTAGGAGGAATAAGGGTGCAACAGTCTCAGGGGAGGGGGCAGGGGCCTTGGGGTAAGGGGTGGCAGGGCCTGGGGTTGAGCACTGGAAAGTTGGCACCTTTAGCTCCAGCCCCAGAGTCAGCACCTATGAAAGGAGCTGCATATTAACTTCTGAAGAGCCACAGGTTGGCCACCCCTGATCTGTGGTGTGGGAGGCTCATCCCAAGAGGGAGGGATGTGGGGAGAATTGCTTTGCCCAGGATGGGGTGAGGGGTAGGAAGTTCTGCAGGAGGGAGCAGGGTTCTGCCAGAACCCAGCAGAGCATGAGGGAAGTAGGGCTCTGCATAGAACAGAAAGGTGAGTGGGAAGCTATGCCCGGACTCAGATAAATCAGGCTCTGACAGGGAGAAGGAGGGGCAAGTACCTTGGATTTTATACAATAAAAATAAGATAATTAACATGCCCTAGGCATACCATACGTCCGGATTTTCCCGGACATGTCCGGCTTTTTGGGACTCAAATCCCCGTCCGGGGGGAAATCCCAAAAAGCCGAACATGTCTGGGAAAATCCGGCGCCGCTGGGCCGGGGGCTGGCCCGGGGCCGAGGGCCGGCGGTACTGGGCGGCCGGGGGGTGCGCCGGGGACCGGTGGTGCT